AGCCTCCTGCCCTGCAGGGCTTCTGATTGGCCACTGAATATCTGACTGGAAAAATAATTTTGTTCTGTTGACAGCTCTATTCTTTCTATCACTTCTGTTTCCCATGTATTTTTTAAAAATTAACCCTCTTGTCTCCGGCACTTGGGCTTCCTCGGTGTGTGGGCGTCCCTCTCTCATGTTGGCCATTTTCTGTTTACGCCCACCCCCACCCCCCGTGTCAGAATGCCAAAGATGCTCACAGGCTCAGAAAGTTTGGGGACCTCTGCTCTAGGGATTTTATTTCAAGGCTAGATGTTTCCTTCTCATGAGATGTTATATTGCTTCCAAGACCCTTGAGAATAGCACAGTGGAGTTCAACGTCCTACTTGTTCTCAGATGCATACATTAACTTTTAATACTTTTTTTGCTAAGTACGTATTATTCAGAATATCATACTGTCTTATTCATAGAGGCATGGCCATTTTCTTAGGTGTCCATAATGCCAAACTAAGGCTGAGTTCAGACTGGCAGTTTGAAACGGGAGGGAGTCGTAGCAAAAAAAACCCGGAACAAAGTGTTCTGAGTTTTCCCGGTCACACTGCACTGACTGATGCAGGAGCATACCAGGGAGGAGGCGCAAGGGAGCGTTCACACTGTTGGCCCAAAGGCACGGGTGTAAGTGGCTTTTTCTGGTAATCCAGTTATGTGCGCTTAATCCGTACTGGATCAAGGCTTTTCGTGTTCACACTTCCGGGAAGCGGGATGGACATGGGATAATCGCACTTTCCAGGGTTTTATACCACTTTCACCTGGTATCTTTTAAACTTGGGAGGGAAGCGTTACAAGACAGGTTGAGTACGGCTGGGGAACGCCTGACAGATGTGCCTGTGTGAACAGCCCCTTTAATCCGTTTGTGAAACGTTTCTGGCTCGTGCCTATATCGGGGCAAACTGCCAGTCTGAACTCAGCCTAAATTTATCACTTAAACTGTCCGCCACAGCCGCCCATCGCCTACAGCCCCCGGGAACGTGAAGCTGCGTCTGAGGTGGGACTGAGACGACGTGGCCAATGGTACGTGGCCACGCCGTTGACGGACAGCTGAGCCATCCTAACACTGTAGGGGCGCATTGCGTGCAGTTTGCGTCTTACTGCTTTATAATATAGAGAGATAACTAAGGCATATAAACTCTTTTGGGGTAGGTTAAGCCATAAATAATATAAGATGTTGCGTACTTAGTTTTACAGACTTCAGTTTAAGATCTTATTAAAGTTGCGCAAGTTTTTTTAAAAAAATCATTAACTACTCCTAAATGATTCTACTCATAAGTAAGTTCCACTTTATTTAATGGGGCTTACTCCCAGGAAAGGTTTTTAGGATTGCAGTCTAGAAGAGTCATATATCAATTAACTGTAATGGTTGTCTCTCTTTCTGCTGGAATTAGATCACTTCTTAGGTTAGGCCCACCTGAAATATTACATTTTTTTTACTCTGGCTTCAAGACAAGGCTCTGAGCCATTTGTTGTTGCTATTTTTCAAACTGCCGCATTGAATCACTATAATTGCCCTTTTCTAAATATATAGCTAAATGTTACACAAATGGAAGACCTCAATGTTTCACTTTTATGTCTGCGAAAATATCTTTTGTTTTCCCGGCCTAAGTTTACAACAGGCAGTAAACATGTACTTAAGCTGCTCAGTTGTTGGAAAAATAAGCACTGGGGTGATGTGACAGACCTCAGAGCTGTGGGACTTACTCTTGACATTTGCTGTGAAATGTCCATGGCCAAAATGACCCAATGAAATTGTCAGTTTTCAAGTGCCCTTCAAAGACTTCTTATGCTCACACTGCCTTCCCTATGAAACGGGAAGACGGACAGTGTTCCACTTCCTCAGCTGCAGAACGAGATCTTCTCAGACCCTGTGGAAGGCCGTTCTTTCCACATTTCCAGAAAGACCATTTAAAAACCAAAAATTCTTCTATCACTAAACATTGCTATTATTAGTGCCCTCTGTTATTTTAGAGCAGCATTTGTTTGGAATCTTGCAATGAGCTCTTTCAGAAGTCCTACTCCCAGTTTTCCATTATGCTAACAGTGACTCTGACTGAGACATCTATTTTCATTGCTGAAGTCTGTTATGGTTGATCTTTTAAGGCACTGACTGTGGTCAGAGAGAGGCAAATGAGGTAGCACATTAAATCACAGAATAAATTTGTTCATGAAAAAAGTGGATCTGCCATTTCATCTCCAAAATAAGATAAAAGCCATAGTCTTTGAAACCTTCACCACTATGAGTTGTAAATGCTCTTACTTCAGTATACTGAAATGAAATGCTCATGGGATGGTTATGAACATTCCAGGTTTGACAAAGAGAACCGCTTCACAGTTTAAGGAACTGCAGGGATTAAGGTAATTGGCCCAGGAGAAACATGCCCCATTTTTCCTCTTATTTACCCACAAAGGTTTCCCTACGTGGCTTTACACTTCTATATTTTAATAGTGAGTTCTCAACATCCTCTCTTTTGTTCAGACTATTGCAATGTTATCCATAATGTCAAAAACAGAAAGGTGAAAGGATTGGCTTTAGAAATGGTGACAGGATGATAGAGACAGCATGCCTAGACAGACAGCTCAGCAGCCCAGTAGGTTGAATCCTTGCTATTTTTCTGGCTATGCTAGGAAGTTTTGGAGGTGGTTGAAAAGCTACAGACACGATGACCAGCAGAAAGTCTGGCGCGGAGGTGAATGAGAAGGAGCAATAGTAGGGTAATGAGGTGAGAGAAGGAAGAACCAGAGAAGGAGAGCTTTTCTATTATACTTTTGCAACATGTCCAAGCCACTTTCTATGGAATACCTCAGGTTATTTAGGAAAAGTGGTGTGCACATGTATATAATTCCTGACAACAGCCCTGAAAGGTAGACTGAAGTCATAATCTCAGTATTACAAAACAGGGCTATACAGAGTGATACCAACTTCCCTAAAGCTACCCAGACGCGCCGTTTGATCTGGTGTCGTCACGCTTCAGAAACGGATTTTATATGCTCGATCACACAGTCAACATCTGCCTCCCATCCCCAGCTGTTGGTTTCCTGCTCAAAACCGTTTTAACCCAGAGTATTTTGTTACCAGGTCCCAAAGTGATGTTTTCTCAGCTCTCCCATTTAAAGCTGCATTTCCCCCCTGTGTGATCACTCCTCCGGTGTCAAGCCACTTCCGGTTTAAACCCCCTCCTCACTCGAAAGCTGCCCAAGGCTTCCGCTTTCCGACCGCCATTTTTTTTAATGCGTTGGCAGTGCGCACATAGGCGGAGCTCCACTACCATGTTTAGAAAACCGACATTTAAACGGTCACTTGTTTTAGAGTTTAGATGAGTTTGGGATCTCACGGAGGCCATTTTCGGGTCAAACTTTTAAAGGGAAGTCTTTTGTTGGAGGGGTTGGATTGATTCGCCCTGGTGGTTCTGCGCATGCGCCCTGATAGTTTTGGGCCCCCCCATTCTATGGAGGGTCACCTATTCACATGCACAAACTGAGAAAAAAATTTTAAAACCCGCCAACGCACACTCCCGCGCATCGGTAGTGTAGACGTCAGGGAGCGACGTGACTGCTCAGTGAGGTGGAATAAGGGAGGTAAGTGTGATTGCGATTATCCAGATCAAATATAATCCGGTTAGAACCAGAGCATTTTAACCCGCTCCCAGCACGCCGTCTGACCACACCCAGTGAGTTCATAGGCAAGGTGAAAATTTACCCTTCTTTATTCACAGCCCACTCTTCTAACTACTACGCAAAACTAGCTGGATAATGTCTTCAGCACTGCAACTGGTTAGCACTGAACATCTGGCTGGAGGGGCGCCAATATTTTCTCTACATCATGGTGCATGTGTAATGGCATTTAAAAAAATATATACTGCAGGCAAATTGAGACAATATGTTGTTACAGACTTCTAAACAGATTAATCAGAGGCAACATAAACTGCTTTCTGGATTTACTTTTAACAGCAACAAAGTATGCTATTGTTTTTTAAAAAATAAGCTAGAGCCAATGTTGATTTTTTTTTAGTTTCAACTGTGCAATGCCTTTTGCTTTTGAATCCTCACCGCTTTCCAGTTAGTTTACTGAAACATAACACAGAGAGAGTGAGACGTAATCACCTTTTAAAAAAAACTGAAGCAGGATTCAAATAAGCTCTCCCTTAAACGACAGAAGACAGCTAAACTATTACAAGGATTTCTGGATAAGGTATGGGATCCTCTGGAGCACCAATGAAGCACTTTTAAGTCACAAATGCACAGGCCCCATTAATGCTGAAGAGCTTAGAACCAGACTCTAAGATGTCTAGATTTTTACAAGAAACTGCCAATCCTTTTTATTTTTTCCTCCTTAAACATAGGAACTAGAAACTTAGTTTTTCTTTGACTTTTTTTTTTTTTTACAAAAAAGGAAAGGTGAAATTGCATCCAATTCTGCAATCTGCAATCAAAACTGTACACACAGGGAAGATATTTTAATACATGGAAGAATTTCAGTAAATATTGTTTCGTCATAGTGTTTTTGAAGTAATGTAGCCTCCAATCAGGCACTCTCTGATCTGGTAATCACTGTACCCATGGTAGAGTATCTGTTTTATAAAAACCATCTCTGTTATCAGTTGTGATCACTACAGGCTCTAGAGAATCCCCTTCACAGATTTTCAAAACTAATATACCAGCTCTACAGCAGAGGATAAAATTTCCTTTGGAAATGTAGTCTATGCACTTCAGTTATGTATGGCTAAGTTTCGCCTGCAAAGACAGAAGTGGCTGGGTCAAAACACAACTTTTAAACAATAACGTTCCTTCTAATCAGCAACTCTTTCCTTGTCAGGCAAAAACCTTGCTAAAATTTGTCCAAAAATGTTTTCCACTGTGCACTGAGAAAACAATTCTGACTTTAATGTATATGCACATTAACAACATTGTCTTTTAACATGTGTTTACAGATAACGCTTTTCTTCTTCTTTGTCTACCTTGATTTTTACCTTTGAAAGAGTTTTTCCATTTGCCAGAAGGGTCACAAGTCCTGCACAGCACACCAAAGCACTGGAACTGGAGAGACCAGAACTTGCTGGGATGGTCCCTTCTACTAGACAATTCATTCCACTTGGCCTGTCAAGACTAAAATGGTCCTAACGATAAGCAAAAAATAAGTACAAATCAGAGAGGCACTGAAGAAAAATCTGCTTTTCCCCCATTCTCAACATAAAATCAATTCTCACCTTATCTCTGCAGCAAGTTTAAAAATGGAGCATGTCAAAAAAAAATTATTCCCACATTTTCATTTTATGCCATTTGTTGTTTAGCCTCAATAGGCTATAATTTCTTTCCATCCAATTTGGATGAAATTTTCTCTCACCCAAGGGATTGTTCTGGCCATATTTCAAAGAATTGGTCCAATTTTTACAGGCAATGTTATGTAAAATACATACCAAAAGTAAAAGATCTATTTTAATGCTTCTTGTCGACTTTGATTATTGATTCTGTCTTGTTGATGCAAGAATTCCATTAAGGATCAAATGTGTCGTCCCCCCCCCCCAGTTCATACTAATTGGATGAGTAGATTTCTAAATGTTATGTCGTCCACTTTTTTGTTAGATTTACAAGCCTTTCCTTTAATTGCCTATAAAACTGGGATCCATTCTCCTTTTCTGAAATCTGGCTGTAGTGCCCCCTTGGGTGATGGCCACAGCGCCTGAAAATGGCGTCCAATCTGGATTAAAAAACAAGGACATTAACGTAGGAAATGTGTTTCCTATTGAAACGGACAGAAACAAAAAAAACTTAATGGGATTAGTTCATGCATTCTGATTTTTATTCGTTTTTATTTCAAAGCTAATGAAAACAAATGTGGCCTTTTCAGCTTCTTTCTTTTCTCCCCATTCATTTTGACATGAATGTACATCTCTAGCTTGGAACACGGACACATCAGATCTGTGTTTGCACTCACTGGAGCAATGTGGTATCAGGAGGCTAATTCCCAGAACCTTTGGCTGCCGGGATTCAGACTGAGTCACCACCTAGGTCTGGCCAAAGGAGGGAACTGTCAAGCCTAGCTAAACCAACGACAGAAGCTTTCAGTAACCACAAGCCAGAATTAGTGAGGTAACTACTCTTGACCCCTACAAAAGCTTCCAGGCCCAATCTTGCTCCAGAACCTACAAGAGGATGGACACTTGTTCCATTAATCTTCACTTTGACTTCACCTCCATTCCCTCCTCATCAGGGGTAGATACTGGCAGCCACTTTCTAACTGAGCCAGTTCCCTGCTCCCAGTACCACAGTCATAGAATCATTTCTGTGGCACCAATAAACCAAGCAAACAGTGACTTCCAAGAATCGTGGGGGGTGATGCCCCCCCGGGGTCATTTCGTAGAAAAAGAGCTAGGGGAACTCATTAGCATAACTCATTAGCATATGGCACACCCCCTGACATCAGGGGCCCGGCGGTGGACCTGCAAGGCCAGCAGGAGTGCGAGGAAGCCCCGCCAAGGCCCTCCCTGGCCCCAGGCAGGCAGGGGTGGGGAGAGGCGGGGAGGAAGCAACTTACCCTCCCTCTTCTCCTGCCTCCTCCTGGCTGAATGAGGGCTGGAAGCGGGGCGGCCGGAAGCAGGGGGCGGGGCTTCGTCATGTGCCCCGCCCCCTGCACCTCACCCGGGGGAACTGTGTTCCCCCGCGTTCCCCCCGAAAAAGCCATGGCTCCCTGCCCCCCCCCTCCCACTGTCACCACTCCCAACCCCCAGGCCTGGCATGGCTCCCAGTAAAGCTAGCATCGGGAAGGTTGAGGGATTTAACCCCACATACGTCATTTTCCCCCACAGGGTTTTAGATTTTTTTCTGCAATCTGGTGGGGGGCTAAATTTGCAAGAAAAACTTCCTGCTGTGCATTTGGGATTTTTTAAGTCCATGGATTTAAGTATCTGCAGATCAGGATACAGTTGGCTATTAGGTATACAATATTCATGTATGTTATTTATCCGTCACATTTGGATCCTGTCCTTTTTCCAGGATGCTCAGGAAACATACATGATATTTTCCTCATCCATTTTATATTCACAATAATCCTAAAATAATTCACAATAATCCTAAAAGATAGGTTAGGCTTTAAAAGTTATGACTGGCCCAATATCACACAGCTGAGTGGGGATTTGAACATCGTCTTCCCTGATTCTCATCTTGCATGCTAACAGTTACACACTGGCATTTGGATTTATATCCCATGGACTGCCCATAAACCTCTCCTTGTCTAAAAAAAGATCTTTGGCTGACTGCATATGGCATTCTGGGGAACTGGTTAACATATTTTGGCTTTTGAGTTTGAGGCTGCTGGCCCCAACAGCTTGCCTGCTGATCTTATACTGGGAGCCTGGGATTCAGAAGAATTACTTTATAGGATAAGTGCCACAGACCACTTAAGCTGACTTTCTCCCATTTAAACCAACGGGACTAACTCAGCTTAAGGGTATGTACTCCAATTTCCGTAAAGTTTGGTTTGCCTTTTCATGCACAGTATTGGAATCACAGAGTGTGACAAACAGCGCCCATATGCCCAAAGAGATTCCAACATTTGAGATCAAACAGATATCAGATTTATCATCCTTGTTGGTAGAGTTGGAGGGAAATTAATATATATTGGAATCAGATGAGAACTGCAGTTGGCAATTGCCATTTCATTACTTGGCAGCAAGTGTTGCTGGACAGTGTGATATAATAAGCACTTCAAATGCTACAGATGACCTTTCCTTTCTAAAAAAAAAAATGGCAGAAGTTATTTGAAGTTGCTTTGGTTTGGATGACAACAAATGAGTCTGTATTTTTAGAACAAAGCTGTGCATTTCAAATATTTATTCCTCTTTCAAGATAGCTAAAAATAGAATGCATACAAAGAAACAGACCCATGCAAAAGGTTCATCTAGCTATAGTATCCATGTGTAAATTAATGCTAGGGAAAAAGTTTTGATTTTATTTCTAGCCAATGGTCTGATTTTTCTTAATTTTTTGGAAATAAGCTCTTAACGCACATTTTGTAGGAAATGGATAACACTGGCATGGGGCCCTGAAATAAAGCAAAGGACTCTAGTAGGTTTTTCTTCATGGTAATAAGGACTAGAAACATGTTTTCATGGAAGTCTTAAGATCAGAGGAGATTCTCTCCATGCCAAATTCTGAGCCACGCAGCTGGGAGATGCAACAAACACCTACACAAACTGTTCCAGAGATTCAGATGGGTAGCTATGTTGGTCTGAAGCAACAGAACAAAGTTTGAGTCCAGTGGCACCTTTAAGACCAATAAAGTTTAATTCTGGGTATAAGCTTTCGTGTGCATGCACACTCCTTCAGATACAGTGAAACAGAATTCCTCAAGGCTTACGTATAGGTAGATGGGGGGGGGGGTTAGTTGCCAGGATGGGCTCATTACAGTTAACAAACACATGTGAGAATGCAGTTGGAGTTCATTGGCACCTTAAAGACAAACAAAGTTTAATTTTAGGTATAAGCGAGAACTGAGCAATTTAGCATATGTAGTGCAATAAAAACCCGATATTTCTGTTAAGCCCTGGGGTTCCATTGTCCTGAGTATTGTAATAACTTGTAATTCAGCAATCTCCCATTCTAGTCTGTTTCTGAAATTCCTTTGCAATACAAGTCCAATAAAGCTATACTTATTGCTCAGTTACTTATGCATCTTGATTCTTAAAGGTGCCAATAGATTCAAACTTTGTTCTGTTCCAGAGAGTGTTAGTGGACAGGAATGCTAGGCTTTTGGCCAGGTTAAACTCTATGGTTAATTTGGCCCTGCTAACAGCTATTTCACTAGTGCTTTTCAAGTTAATTTGTAGTTGTTTCCATGGCCCCTAAGTGTACACTAAGGCCCCACTGGTGGACCTCCTGATGGCACCTGGCATTTTTGACCACTGTGTGACAGAGTATTAGACTGAATGGGCCATTGACCTGATCCAGTATTGGCTTCTCTTACGTTCTTATGTTCTTACAGGAGGTGGTAGCAGCTACAAGCATCAATGGCTTCAAGAGGGAACTGGATAAACACATGGAGCAGAAGTCCATCAGTGGCTATTAGCCACAAGGTATAGATAGGACTGCTCGGTCTGGGGCAAGTGATGCTCTGTATTCTTGGTGCTGGGGGGGGGGCAAAAGTGGGAGGGCTAGTGTCCTGGCCCCACTGGTGGACCTCCTGATGGCATCTGGTATTTCTGGCCACTGTGTGACAGAGTGTTGGACTAGATGGGCCATTGGCCTGATCCAACATTGGCTTCTCTTATGTTCTTATGTTAATGCGATCAGTCTCGATTGCATAGATTCAGCAGCTTCCCATGCTACAATTGTTAACTTACAAAAGCATACCACTTCAGTTTCTGTGTATATCTTTCTTTGAGCCAGGAAGTAGACTGGCTTACCCCACAGAATATCCCAGTCAGCCATCTCATGCCTTCACTTGCCATGTTTTGCACTGCTAGAGGCCAATGAAACAACAACTCCTTCTAAGGAGATTTGGAGTGGGGGGGGGGAAGCAGACTGGGTTATTTCCGCCTAAGGATTTCTCCCTTCTGGGAACTGAAAACAGAGGTGGGGAAAACCCTTTCACAATCCTAGCATCAAGTTTTGGGAAACCATCAATTGTTGTAAACAAAGCTGAAAATATTTTTGATTCCTAGGAAAGAGAGACTTAAAAAAAAACCCTTTTCTCCTGTAGATGGAACAAACTATTGCCAGCCTTTTTACAACCACATAGGAAACAACTTGGAGTCCTTTCTTCAATGGCTGGGTGACAATTTAAGACAAATTCCCATAAATCATACTACAAATCTTGCTAGCCTCTTGCCTCCCTTCTTTTAATAGATCTACCTGGCTTTTATACCTAGGAAAGTCACCCACAAAGTCAAGCTGTCATTCTTTTGTCATAATTACACTTCAAGAAAAGTGAAACAACTTTTTTTTTGCTTACATGTTCATCCTTCTCTCTTAACTTAGTGGAAGAACACATGCTTTGCAAACGCAAGTTCCTAGGTTTAATCCAGTTTAAAGAATTTTAGGGAGCAACTCTTGGGAAAGACCTTTCTGTGTATGAGACCCTGGAGACCTGCTTGCCAGACAGAGTAGCCAGTACAGAGATGGATGGACTAAAGGTCTGTCTCGGTATAAGGAAGCATTTTATGATCCAAAGAGAATCTCCTGAGATATTACAAATTCTAAAAGGTAGGTCCAGTTGGTTATCTGTGTTGGTCTGAAGCAGTTGGTCTGAAGCAGTACAACAAATTTAGAGTCCACAAAATTTAGAGACCCACAAAGGTTTATTCAAGGTGTGAGCTTTCGTGTGCACGCACACTTGATCAAATACAGTGGAATGGCAGGCAAGGGTCAAACTTACAGCCAGAAAATGAACAACAAATTAACATGCAACATGATGATGATCATTCTAAAATTCTAAAAGGATTACTAGACAAAGGCCCCGGTCACACAGGCAGGAAAATGCGGGGGGGAAGCGTGGCTGTTTGCCCTGGAGCAAAATAATGCGCAGCTGCGCAATCAGACGTCCCATCGAGGTCCCGTGGTTAGGGGGGAGGTGCTGATCACAGGACAATCCTGCGGCGCGGCAAAGAAGTGGCCTCCCTAGCAAAAGGCTCTGGGTTTAATCCCTTCCAGGGCTGCAGAGGAATGCAACGTGTCCTCCGTCCAGTCCCCTCCAGGAGGAGCTTCAGCTGGGTCGCCCTCCCGCCACGCCTCCCCTGCACCTCCCCCTCTGCCGCCTGGTGCAGAGAGTTCCTCTCGAGCAGGCCGAGCCAGGAGTGGGGGGGGTATGGAAAAGAAGAGGGGGCTGTGTTTGTTTTTAAACAAAGTGTGCGCATGCACCGTTGGGTGCTTGTGCGCATCCCGTGGAGACTTGAGGGAAAAAAACCTTTTAGCGATGGCCTCCCCCCCCCCCTCTGCCGCCCGGTGCAGAGAGTTCCTCTCGAGCAGGCCGAGCCAGGAGTGGGGGGGTATGGAAAAGAAGAGGGGGCTGTGTTTGTTTTTAAACAAAGTGTGCGCATGCACCGTTGGGTGCTTGTGCGCATCCCGTGGAGACTTGAGGGAAAAAAACCTTTTAGCGATGGGACATGGGCGGGCACCGGATGCCACGAACTACCACCAGAAACGCGATCAGGCACCCGCCCTTGCCCCGCGGTTTCCGGAAACTAGTACCTCGGAGGTACTAGTTTTTTACCCTGCATCTTCGGCGGGAAGCCTCGGGTTTGCCACAGGAGCTCTACGCTTCCCAGATGTGGTGCTGTGATCGTGCCCGGAAAATCCGCCTATCTTCCGTCTCTGTAGCGTGGCTAATGCTCCATGTGACCGCAGCCCAAATGTGGCTCCATAAGGAATCAAACAGAGCCGTTTAAAAAAACAGTATGAAACTGAGGTAGGATGCTCGAAAAACCAGTATGTGAAGGGAATGGTAGGCAGATATTTTTATGGGACTGAAGGGCTTCTCAGAGATGCTTTAGAGGAAGGGAAATTATAGACATAAACAGCTGCCAGGAATCCAGGTGTGAACCATGTTCTGATTGATGCCAGTACACTAAAACAGCTGCACCAGGAGTCTCTTCAGCATGTATCTTTTTTGTTTGTTTGTTTATCACTTATTGTGAGCCGTCATGTGTGCCAGTTCCCAATAAAGGAGTTGCAACAACCAGTATTTAGGCTGCTGAAGCTTTATGGATGCCAGTATTATACATGTCAGTATTATACATGTTGATGTATCGGTCAATTCGTATACTTTCAGTTATGTAAACAGGCTTTCTTATACTGGATCTTTTGTTGATCTCTTTCTCTGAATTTTGACATAGTTTGGCTCTTTAATTACCAAAGGTTGCTGACCCAGAGACCCATACTATCTCTAAACTTCCATGCTCAGAGATGGTATACCTCTAAATACTAAATAATGGAAAGAATCAACAGAAACTGGCCATTTTCATGCCTCACTTGTGGATTTCTAGAGGCGTCTGGCCAGCCTGCTAGAAACACAATGCTGGATTGTCATTCAATCCAGTAAGGAAATTCTTATGTATTAAAATGTTTCCAAGAAAAAAAGTTTATCACCTCTAAAAGCCCCATTTATTTTACAAAGTCTATTTTCCCCCTGGCATAATATCAACATTAGGCAGCAATGTCTAGAGAGTTCTTTCCCATAGCCACAAACAATACCTCTAGCTGCACATGTTCTGTTTATCATTTTAAATTACACTTCCTGCCAATTGCTTTCTTAGACATATAAACTATTAGCTGAAATGCAACTGTTGCCAGTGGACTTCCATATAGAACATGAGACAACAAGACAGAGAGAATGGATAAATCCAAGTCACATACTAAACCAGAAACTGACCGACAACATTGCCTTGAAAGTGGGACAGGCTTGCAAATTTATCACACAATTTTCAGATGAAGAGAACACGATTCCAGATTCAAAACTGAAAATGGACTTTGCCAAACTCTGCAGCACTTCTGTTCCGAAAGGAGAGCATGTTTGGTTTAATATAAACAGAATATCCTCTTAGATTCTCTTGGAACCTGCACTGGCACTTTAAACAGATTTCATTGGGTTTGTTCTTTCAAGCACTATTGTGAATGAACCTCCTTTTTTATAGAAGAAGAGTTGGTTTTATACCCCACCCTTCACTACTTGAAGGAGTCTCAGAGTGACTTACAATCACCTTCCCTTCCTCTCCCCACAACAGACACCCCATGAGGTAGGTGGGATTGAGAGTTCTGAGAGAACTGTGACTCACCCAAGGTCACCCAGTGGGCTTCATGTGGAAGAGTGGGGAACCAAACCCCGTTCTCCAGATTAGAGTCCGCCACTCTTAACCACCACACCAAACTGGCTCTTGCAGGGACAAATCTCCTGAGAAGGCTTCCCAGAACCAAACATCTAAATTGTATGGCCCATCTTAAATGAGTAGCCATGTTATGGTAAACACGACTGACCCGCTCTTGATTAGCTTCAGAATGAAGTCAGGAAGTAGAGACAAGGAAGAATCTGGACTTCACAACTTCTTCAGGAACCAGTATTTGTGGCATAGCAGCTAAGACACAGAACTATGGATCGGGTTGTAGTTCTGGATGGCCACAAACCACTCAGGAGCAGGCCACAGTCTTCCATACCCCCACCCCTCTGTCTTCTGGGTTGAAGTCCCCCCCCCTTTCTTCTTGTTAACTTCAGCCATAGTTGAATGTCCTCAGTACCTAGAGTTAATGCTAGCTAGATCTCATCTTTAGCAGAGTTTATAGGCCCCACTTCATATACTGGTTCTGACGAGAATCCAGATAACAGCCTGGAAATCTCAGTTGTCGGTTCACATGTTCTGAGGAAGCAGGAGAACATGTACTTACTACATTTTTGCCACAAAATTCTTCCAGGGGCAGGCTGTGCTTCGGCAACGAAATCACAGATCAAAATTGAGGATATCCTGAATATTATATTAAGGCTGCGGTCACACGGAGCATTAGCCACGCTACAGAGACAGAAGATAGGCGGATTTTCCAGGCGCGATCACACTGCAACATCTGGGAAGCGTAGAGCTCCCGTGGCTAACCCGAGGCTTCCCGCCGAAGATGCGGCGTAAAAAACTAGTACCTCCGAGGTACTAGTTTCCGGGCAAGGGCGGGAATCTCATCGCGTTTCCAGTGGTAGTTCATGGCATCCGGCGCCCACCCATGTCCCATCGCAAAAAGGGTTTTTTCCCCAAGTCTCCACATTTTTGCCACAGAATTCTTGCAGGGGCAGGCTGTGCTTCGGCAACGAGATCACAGATCAAAATTGAGGATATCCTGAATATTATATTAAGGCCACGCTACAGAGACGGAAGATAGGCGGAATTTCCAGGCACGATCACACCGCAACATCTGGGAAGCGTAGAGCTCCCGTGGCTAACCCGAGGCTTCCCGCCGAAGATGCGGCGTAAAAAACTAGTACCTCCAAGGTATTAGTTTCCGGAAACCGCAGGGCAAGGGCGGGCGTCTCATCGCGTTTCCAGTGGTAGTTCGTGGCATCCGGCGCCCACCCATGTCCCGTCGCAAAAAGGATTTTTTCCCCAAGTCTCCACGGGATGCACAGAAGCACCCAACGGCGCATGCGCACACTTCGGTGATTGCTGCTGTGATTGCGCCGCGCTGCTTCTTTGCCACGCCGCAGGATTGTCGTGTGATCGGCATCTCCCCCCGAACCACAGGACGTCGGCGGGACGTGTGATCCGGCAGCCGCGCGTTAGTTTGCTCCAGGGCAAACAGCCACGCTTCCCCCCCCCGCATTTTCCGGCCCGTGTGACCGGGGCCTAAGTCTGTCACATTTTTATCTATCCTTTCCTCCAAGGAATTCAGGGTAGCATACACAATTCTCTCCTCCTCCTTCTATATATATATATTGCTCTTCTAATGTTTCAGCTCTGCAAAGTCTGTCACAGCCTCATTGAAAGAAGTAACTGTTTAAGGTCTAAAACTCAAGAGACAGCTATGACATACTGTTTAGGGAGGTTGTTACAGCTTTGATACTTCATGTGGGCAAATATTTAATTAATACATTTTAATCTCTAAAAAAGATCTTCAACCTAACAGTGGAAATATCCAATATTCTTTTAAACATCAAGTTTATAATAATGATGCATACAGAATTTAATTTACCTCAATTCCTTTGAATCCACACAGGAAGTAGTTGTGCCACAAAGGTTTGGTCTGATTAATCTCAATGCTGTTAGCATTAGTACTAAAATCCCTAGAGAATAAAACACAAGGGAAATATAAAGTCTACAAAACTGGCAATAGGTTTCAAAATATAAATAGCCCACTGCTGCCATCTGCCGGTTGGCAAAACAATCACACAGCCATATTCCTCAAGAATTCAGGAGGGTAGCCGTGTTGGTCTGAAGTATGCACACAGAAGCTTATACCCAGAATTAAACTTTCTTGATCTTAAAGGTGCCGCTGCATTCAAACTTTGTTCTATTCCTTAAGAATGTTCAGTAAAACATTAGAGAAGTCCAGTGAAAACTTCAAGACTAACAATTTATTCCATCATAAGCTTCTGTGAGTCTGACAGCGCACTTCTTCAGATGGTCACCAATCTCATGCTGGAATAAAAGTTGTTAGTCTTTAAGGTGCCAGTAGACTTCTATATTTGCTACCCCTCTGGAACAACAAAATAGTCCTTGCTCTTTCCCCCCACCCCACCCCACCTATTAAGAGTTCAATGGCCTGAAATGTAATCTAGGGGAAAAGCAAATTAGGAAGGTTACCATGGTTATGTGCTCTTCATGGACTTTGTGATGAGCTTTTAATTAGCTGGCTCAGGACTGAGAGTTTTTAAACACCCTTTGTTGTTTCCAAAGGCTTTTGCATTGACAAGCAGTTGATGATGTGATTTTGTGTAATTCCGTCTGTTGGTAACTGGCTTACTTTTCTTCTGCTTCACCATAACGTGTTTTATGTTGATATTTTATTTTTGAATTCTTAGATGCCAAAAGAGCCTACCAATGGGATGGTTTGCAGTGTAGTTACCGTCACGCCAGTAGTCTCTCTAAGGAACACGGGAACTATCCGGAGGCGTGCAGGGCCCTGCACTACCCATTGTCCATCTGGAGATTACAGTGGTTATATTCTGCTCACGATGTGAACTGCTCCGTACATGGGGGGGGGGGAATTAGAGGGAACACTGCCTCACACCCCACCCCAAAATATCAAGGCTGCAGCCTGCCCTCCTCACTAGGAAGAGGTGTCGGAATCGGACCCTTGCCCGGGTCATCGGGCCATCATACTTAACTGTGGTTCTCTGATGTACATATCTATGCTCTGTTATTGCTTCGCCAGCTTCTCCCTCCCCACTTGTAGTTCCCAAGTTCCCGTTTAGCACCTGCTGGCATTGTACCAATCTGTCTGTCCTCTGACATTCCTGAGGAGGGGGCGATTGAGACATGTCTGTGTGAACTTTAAATTACCTGCGCTTGTACCTCTGTGAAAGGAAGCATCCTCCGCAAAGGCCAGAGGGAACTTTCAACGTTTCTCATTCTCATGGCCTTGCGGAGAGACTCAAGTGATAACATTCACACCGTCCTAATTGCACTGTATTAACCTGTCTATGCACTATGTAATCATGACGTATGAATGAAGGCTGCACCAAAGGTCTCGTAGATTCCCACTTTGTATTATTCCTTAGCTCTGTCAAGAAGTTCAACTGCACAGCAACTAAATCAGTTTTCTCAATAAAACCTGTAAAAGGACTTATTGCGTCGGAGTGGTTTCTGAAGAAGCTGACAAGAGGGCTGCTGGTAATATTTTCTCAAACCTACAATATCTGCTATAACCCTTATGACAGGCAAAGCATCTGTGCCTGATAACTAGATGAAAAGCAGAAAAATTTTAGAGTCCAGTGGGCACCTTTAAAATCAACAAAGTTTTATTCCAAGTATGAGCTTTCATGTTCACGCACACTTTTTCAAATACATTGGAAGGCCTTCCAATTTGTTCTACTGGATCCACCTGGATCTATCTAGATGAAAACAAGTTATTGTGAAGACAACAAACTTGCTTATAAGTCATACCTTTTTAAATGAAAAAGGACCTTAAGTTAGTCTCCACCATGCAAAGACTCAGTTGTGCATACGGTAGCTAAAAAGGGATCCCCCCCCCCCGATCCTTTAAGCTTAGTAAGGATGACAGCAAACTCTAAACACCTACTATGAACCACAGGAAATTTTGCATGGATAAAGCTCAGCAGTCAAAAATTTGCAATATTATTGCTTTGAAGGAAGAATGTTTCTTTCAACTACAGTTTTTGGTCTGTTCTCATTCTTTACATAGACAGAAATTCTTATGTTATTAATTTAAAAATCTGTGTGTCCCCTCCCCTACCCCCAATTTAGGTAGGGCAAAACTAGTTATCTACTTGTATCCTACTTTTCTCCCCAAAGGAGACCCAAAGCAGCTTACACTAGAACAAGGAGAATACAGTTAGCGAACTGTTGTAGGTAGCTGCAATTATGCAACCCACACTGCTAAAATGTAAAAACTGTAAAAGGGACTTTACCAGGGGCCCGCTAAATATTATTTACTGCCATCTCTCTGATATTGCCAGTACATAATAATTGGGAGCAGGCCTCGTTCACACTAGCCTGCCTTCCCTGCCTACTCTCCGTTTGCTATCTGTCATATTTTTAGTCCAACTTTTGGGCAAAGAGTTCAGGACTGCATTCATGGTGGTTCTTTCTACACACACACCCCACTCCAACAATCCATTCAACAACTCTGCAAGACAGTTTAGGCTGAGTATGTGTGACAGCACTCCACTCAGGGAATTTCAGGTCTTCAGTGGGGATTAAAACCTTTCTCTCTTGCAGCTCAACAGTGTCATGACTACAACACACTGGTTCTCCTCCTTGTGAGGAAAGGGGAGGGGGACCCACATTTAATCTTAAAGGGCTAGGGGAGATCCTACAAGCAAACAACCATGGGGTCTCTCATTCTGAAAGCTCACCTTTCACCATGAGACAAGGAACTGAAGGGGAAAACAAGCCTGTGCTCTGCTCATGATTTCTTCCCAGGGAGAATACAGGAACCAGGTTTCCAGATAGCCCAGATGGGTTTTTCCATGCATTTTAATGTCCCCAAAGCAATTTGGAAACCACACAAAGGAGAAGTTACTCCTGATGGAAATCGTTGTTTGTGCTAGGAGCTGTTATTAGTTGTGATGGAAATCAAATTTGCAGCCTTCTGCTTCCCTCCCTCCCCAAAATAAACACAGTTCCTGTTTCTTCACTGCATTTTTCTTTCTTTTAGAAACTCAAAAACCAAACAATTAAAAAACATGGAGCGATTATCTGGTAATATATGCTACCCTCTGGAATAAAATCTTATGCTTTTGGCATACTACGAGGATCTTTGAAACCACTTTTAAACCAAAAACTGAAAGAAGCATTGACTTCTAAGCTGGCACATTCAATTCAGATGTCCATCTGAAGACGCATGCCAAATGCGGTTCATTATAATTGGGGGAACAAATAAAGGAATTAGAGGGAGGAGGGAGAAAAAACTATTTCCAATGGGAACAAAAATCTGACACTTTCATTCTGCCCTGGAAATTACTGACACATGCCAAAATCCTATTAGATAGTTCCCTAAAGCAGTCATTCTCAATTTTTTTTAAGTGGGAGCCATTTCCTGTGCTTTTTCTGGGGACTCATTTGCAAAGCAGCTCCATGCTACTTTCCCCCCTACACCACACAGAACATAGAGATCTCACATTAAAAATATAAACTTATTACATGTTAACGATTGTTTAGTATTTATAAACATCTAGCTCTACTGAGCAACAAAGGCTACATTTCACAGGCATTTTCCACATTATGCAGAGGCTAAATTTGCTCTAATGTATTTGGCCCAATTCTAATGCTTCTGAACTAATGACAAGTCATGGTTTGTGGGAAGTGAACGAGCCTTGGAGATTCTCAGGTTTGTATGCTTCCTCCTCACACATGCGGCAAGCCATACTCTCCTCCTGTTATGTCTGCATCACAAGGAATAGTTTTCTCTACAAACTGGCATTCCAGGCTCTAGCTTTACTGAGAGAACAGCAAGCCACCATTTGGGTTTGTGGTGTAACAACAAACTTTTGCTCATTTTGACAGTGAAGTCTTTCATTCCTGTTCTATGCATGAAGGGAGGAGTGTAGTAGGGTGCTAGCATGAACATTCCCCACCCTCAGTTCATGCCTCATTATATGTGAAGCATGCCACCAAATAATATTTATCAAACTGCACATAGGTACCTGGGTACAAATGCACAAACTGTGGTTTATTAACAAAGATAAAATAAAATTCAAGACTGAAATTGGCCCCTGGCTAGCAGGAAAGAAACAAACTGGAATCTGTCAAACTTTCCAATTGAGACGTTGCATCAAATTGGGGCTGATTCTAAACCAAGAAGTCTCCAATCTCAGTTTGGTGCATAAAGAGAACGAGGAAGGGAGAGTGTGCAAACCTGAGAAATTCCTGACTTATTCTCTTCACAAACCAAATATGATTTGTTTGTTCACCAGAATGTAACTTCTCTTACATACTTTAAACAAATACCCTAACTATTTATCTGACACTTCTTGGGGGTTTTTCTTTATTGGTTGCAACTTTGTGCATTAAGTCTTTACATTCTGAAAAAAATTAAACTCCCTGAAGGATGAGGTCATGGTAGCAAAATGGCCAAGCGAATTTGGGCCCTAGTCTCAACTAAATGTGTTCAATCACTTGATAAAAATCCATGAAATAAATAGAAAACTTGGGGCTATTTTTGGGCAGGAACGCACAGGAACGGAGTTCCAGCTGGCCTCAGAGTTGGCCATGCCCACTACAGCCAAAACCTCTGCGTGCCTGGCTACAGAGGGACGGCCTGGAGAGTGACACACACCCCGGTGACTCCGAGGCAGGTGGGCCAGGGGCCCCCTGGAAGGATCGGGGAGGCATTTAAATGCCTCCTTGTGCCTTCCCTGGTTTGCCCAAGGGTCGGCTTGCCCGGGCTCCCTGCAGCCGCAGGGCAAGCCAAGGGAAGGCAGTTTAAACTGCCTTCTCTTCTCTTCAAGGGGGGGGGCTTGCCAAGAGAAGGCAATTTAAACTGCCTTCCCCTCCCTCCAAGGGCCGGCTTGCCCAGACTCACCGCAGCCGCGGGTCACCCGGGCAAGCCAAGGGAAGGCAGTTTAAACTGCCTTCCCTTCCGGGGGGGGGGGCTTGGCTGGGTTCCCCGCAGCTGCGGGTGCCCGGGCAAGCCAAGGGAAGGCACTAATAAGCTGCACTAATGAGCTGCACTAACAGGGTGTGGCCTAATATGCTAATGAGTTTCTGCTGTTGAGTATGGCCTATTATGCTAATGAGTTCCTGCTGGAATTTTTCTACAGAAAAAGCCCTGAGAATACTTACACGTATGAAGGGTTTTCATTGGCCAAATGGATAACTGGTGTACTTAAAGGTTCAGCTGCTATAAGTATATCTTGCTCTATAGCCATTGGAAGCACAGAGTAGCCACAATAATCAATATGCTCACCTTCCAAAAAGAAAACAGAATATTAACCTTTTAAAAACTCTTTTGGGGCATCTGCAACAGCAAAATAACCCCCTTTCGTTTCAATAATTGCCGCACAGCACAGTTTGCTCATGAACTAGACCAGTGGTTCCCACCACAAGCCCCGCTGGGCAAGGGCCTTGCCCACTTCCCTAAAACAAGGAACAGTTACCACACTGGGGAACATTTGTGCTCAGAAGAGCCACAGGTGGCATGTCAAAGAGCCACATATGGGCCCTGGGCCTCTGAATGAGTATCACTGAGTAGTCAGTACCAATCTCAATAGACCAGCAGCTCTGATTTGGTGTAAGGCAGTTTCATGTGGATTTTTCTTTTAGGGATGGGGCTGTGGTGCCATGGTAGAGCATCTGCTTTACGTGCAGAAGGTTCCAGCTTCAGTCCCTAGGCATCTCCAGTTAAAAGGATCCAGGTCTAGGTGGTGTGAGAGTCCCGCACCTGAGAACCTGCACAGCTGCTGCGAGTTACCATAGACAAAAATGACCTTGATAAACCTATGCGTCTGGGTCAGTATCAACACAGTATGAAAAGAGCTCTGGTTGAGAGCTTGGCCATCTAGCTCAGTATCTCAGACACTGATTTTTACCAGCCCTGCTTTCAGATTTTTCCCCCACTGCAGATGTCAGTAATTGAATCTTAGATTTTCTGCACATAAAACATGTGCTGAGCTGTGTGGCTCCCAAAAATGCCAGGGAGTCCTGAAACAGCAATTTTACCACTGAGCTATGATAGTACAAGTATTTGGACCGAGCTGATAATAGTTGTTCTGTATTTTATATTACACCTGTTAAAATTTGATCCTGCTTAGCTAATGGTTGGCTCTGTTTTCTGCTGGTGCTTGGCCTGGCAGTTTATAGTGCTGTATTTGTCATATTGTTTCAAGCTGTCATATTTAGAAATTTATTGAGAAATTTTTATTCCACCTTTCCAGAGAATTGAGTTGAACTTGTCTTATTGAAAGCCCTGTTAGTGTTTTTTGGTTTTTTTACTGAAAGCGAGGATATCCATTTTTATAATAATAAATACTGAGCTAGATGGACAAATGGTCTGACTCAGTAAGAGTAACAGATTATGAGGAAGCACTTTGTGTACACTGTAGAGGGTCCCAGGCTCAGTCCCTGCCACCTCCATTGTTCAATGCCAGTTTGGCTCTAATCTGGGAGAACCGGGTTTGATTCTCCACTCCTCCACTTGCACCTGGCTGGATGACCTTGGGCAAGCCATAGCTCTGATAAGAGCTGTTCCTGAAAAAAGAGCAGTTTCTGTCAGAGCTCTCTCAGCCCCACCGACCTCACAGGGTGTCTGTTGTGGGGAGGGGAAGGGAAAGGGGTTTGTAAGCCACTCTGAGACACCTTTGGGTAGTGAAGGGCGGGGTATAAATCCAATCTCTTCTCTTCATTGGCAAATAGCCAAAAAGACCTTTGCCAAATGCTCTTAAAAGCCACTACCAGCAAGGTAGACAGCACTGTGCTGAATGGAACAATGGTGTGATCCTGTTAATGGCAACTTCATAAACCAACAAGTAAAGATATTTGTGTTAACCAAACTACATCTCTTGTGATTTCCAGGGATCTTAGTACAACTATGTGGAACATAAGCTAAAACCACAATATTTATTGTAGCTAGTGACTTCACGTGCATGGACATGATCATTAGTGTTCATACCCATATTATACACTGAATGTCCAGAAACCCCAATATGTATATCCCATTTTTACCTATTAAGTTGACACGCCCTGGTGCTCGAGCATAAAACTTGGGAGTTGACTTAAATTTAGAGACAAACGTCTTCTTCAGCTTCAACAATCTGAAAAGCAGGTTGGAATGTTTAATTATCTGTAGGCAATGTTCAGTTATTTGTAGGCAACTTCTAAAATCATCCAGAGGTAAAATCAGGCAGGGATAAAATTCTGGCCCAGTTTAGTAGTATGAAACAAATGGGAGCTTTTATTCACATACACAATTTCTGGATTCATACCTCGTCCTCATTGAGAAGAACAGGATTAATTGTGTTTTTAAAACAAAGATTATAATATTTAAAAAGGAGATCAGTAACCCATCTACACCCCTGTAATTTGGATTTTAAAAAAAAGATTGGGTATAGACTTTCAAAAGTCACTTGATGACTTTGGGTACTCTTATTCCCCATGCAGAGGTTCCACAAAATTATTGATTTTAAATGAATTTGTTGATGTTCTTAATGACTCTGGGTATTTTTTAATGAAATGCTATTTTGTCTTCTATGTTTCAGGCACTGTCCATCACTTCAGGCTTGGTTACCGATCTAGTTGGTTTGTCTGACCTATGACAAGTTTAAGAGGGCCCCATACAGCATTACCAAAATGTGATGTTTTCTAACGTTTTTAAATGTAGAGGCACCTCATAATCTGAAACCCTAAAAGGTAGTTTACTTAATTGGGTATACATCCAGTTCTGTTCCCAACATTTTGTGACTAGCACAGCATCCAATGGCAGTCATTTTGTGATCTGTCCCCATGGCAGCCGTTTTGTGGTGATGTCCACTCCTTTTTGTCAAAATTCAAAAAACAAAAATTCTGCATAGGACAGGCTCACCAAGATTGGGGACCACTGCAGTACAGGGCCCAATTTAAACTACAGGAACTTATCACCCATACATAGTAACTGAAATTAAAAGGCTTGGTTTGCACAGGCAAAAGAATAAGGCTGTAAAATGCTGAGGCGCTAGACTGGATTGCTCCACTTCAGTCTGTAGGTGATATGTCCACTGCTCAATGCATTAAAAAGCTACTTGAATTTTAAAAAATAGCACAGTAGACTTGAAAGTTCTACCTCTTTTCTTAGTGTGTTCTGTGATGGTTCTGTTTACAGGGGAGTCTGTAACAAAGAGGCACATTCACAAAATAGGAGCCCCCCCCCCACCTGCAGTTTGAGGTGGCACTGTTCATTCTATCACTTCAGCCTTTTACCACCTCATTCTCCCGCAGGCCTTAATTGTAAAACGCACTTGCTAGGTAAATTCCCTTGCACAGTGTTTCTGAGTAAACACAGTGATACTTTTGAGTAAATATAGGATGAGAACTGAAAGCTGGGAGGGGCAGTTAGATATTACAACGGGAAGCCAGTTTAAAACAAGAACCAGTCCATCTGAATCTTGTTTTAAACTGGCCTCTTTTTAGATAAAGATGCAAACAAAGTTTTGATGTTACAAGCTGGTGTCTCTTTGTAACATCGCTTCCATGCTCCCCAGTTTTTAGTAATAACTGTTATCTGATTAATTGACGAAGTGAGCTCCAACTCATGAAAATTTATGCTGGAATAGGTGCTGGTAGTCTTTACAGTGTCACTGAACTCCTGTGTTCAATACCTGGTAGCATCTTCAAAAGACATGGTCTGGTAATATCATTGCAACAATCCACCAATTAGCCTGAAAGAGGCTGCAAGAACTTGTGTCGTGTTTTGTTCCTACAGGACTGATACGGTTGTCCTTCTGGAAGGGACCTGCCTTAAGTGATCCTGGGTACACACTGTTAACTGTGCGCCAGGAAGCAGAAACGGAACTTCCAATTACGCCTAAAGCATTTTAAAAGAAATCGTTCCTCTGCAGTACGAACGGCACCGACCTTAAGATGCAAACTTTCCTTCTCTCTCTCCCACTCTCTCTCTCTCTCTCTTTTGCACAAATAAATAACTAAGTCTGACTGAAGGGAAAGGGGGGGAAGAAAACAGCCAAACGCACCTGGGTTCTTCCACCAGCTGGACCGAACGGGTGGGGGGAACATCCGTGGCCATGTTTAGCGTTTCTAAATGCTGGACACACAAACAAATTGCACCCCTTCTAGCTGCCCTGCAAATCTCTAAGGCTAATATCCTGGAGCACAGACGCGTTTTCCTTCCGGCATGGACGCTAAGAGCAGCGAAATCCCTCCTCCTCCTCTGACGCTTCCTCCTTCTGCTCCCCGCCTCGATCCTCTGTGTGCGGAGCTTCTTGCAATCCGGACCCCTCCACCTTGCAAAATACCGATGGGGGGGGGGGACACAAGCAAGTCCCCCCGGATCAGCCTTTTGAGCGGGTGGCGGGATCTGCTGGCGCTAGTCTTTGGCTTCCCCTCTTATTGGGAAGACGTTAACTTTTGCTGGCATAGCCAGCAATGCGACTCTTGTGTTGAGAGTGATCAAGATGGGTAGCCGTGTTAGTCTGTCTGTAGCAGTAGGATTGCAAGTAGATAAATAGGTACCACTTCGGTGAGAAGAAGGTAACAGTGTTCCGTGCACCTTGATGTTTAGTCATACCGGCCACATGACCACGGAAATGTCTTCGGACAGCGCTGGCTCTTCGGCTTTGAAAGGGAGATGAGCACCGCAACCCTAGAGTCGGATTCGACTGGCTTTCGAGCAAGGGAACCTTTAAGAACCTTTACCTTTACCAGTAGAAAAGAGCCATAGTCCAGTAGCACCTTAAGGACTAACAAAATATGTGGCAGAGGAGGCGCTTTCATGAGTCACTGCTCACTTCTTCAGATACTTGGTGAGAAAGATACCTGGTGAGAAAGATGATATCTGTTTGTACCTGTGCAAATTTCTTCATAAAGTTGACGGATTTCCATTCTGTATGGGAGCTTTCGTGAGTTACTGCTCACTTCTTCAGATACAGAATGGAAATGCATCAACCTTATGAAGAAACTTGCACAGATATAAACAGATACCATCTTTCTCACCAGGTATCTGAAGAAGCGAGCAGTGACTCACAAGAGCTCATACTCTGCCACATATTTTGTTAGTCTTTAAGGTGCTACTGGACTCTTGCTCTTTTCTACTGTGTTGAGAGTGGTTGGCTCTGCGCATCTTTCTAGTTGTTGTTTGCAGTTTGTAGTTCATTTGTTCTTGGGTGGATCATGGGAGGACCTTGGCAGAGACTTCCTGAGTTAAAGTTCCATCCCTGACCTTCATTCCCAAATACAGATAAAATTGCCCTCCTTATCTCTCATTTCCCTCTCTGGTTTTCCCACTCATGTCTTGTAGGTTTAAGGCAGAGTCCTGTATGCTTTTGCCTATATCACTCTAAGATACTTTGTACTGATGGTGATGTGAAAATGTATAAATTCTTTTTGGACTGCAGCTTAAGATAACAATAGGTATGGCCATTTTATAACTGTAGAACTCCAGTTGAGGACAGGCACCTCTTTGGAATCAGATGCCACTACATGCACACCTGATTTCCTCTCTGTTAGGGCGGCCACCTCCTTTCCTGACAAGGCTGCTATACTGTTAACAGTCGCCTAACACAACTGAACAATTCATGATGTAGCTTTAATTGTCATGGAAAAGAATTTATCTTAATCATGCCACTGTTAGCAGCCCAGAAGACTAAAAAAAAGCTGGTGACACTATCTGACACTAAGGTACTATCAGTGGTAAATGACCCTCCCCCTCAATTTATATGTGTATTTTGTGATGGAGAGGGAATTTTGATACAACAATAGTGATATGATGCTAGTTACTCCAGTCTGTAAACAGTGTATGGCCTTTTTATCTACAACCAGCATCAGGATGTAAAATGTTTTAAAGTAGCAACTTGGAGAATCAGCCTCACAAATATGTTCTGTTTCCTTTAGAAAAGAGTACTTCAGCAAGCAACAGTGGAACATTTTATAATGCTACTACATTGTGCAAGGCAACTCAAAAGAATGTGTCCAATCAGATTTAACATCCTTAATGCCAGTTTAGAGTCTTGGGTTGTTCTCATTTTTAAATGCCTAATTGTTGTGTGAATTATGCTAAATGTATCTGTATAGAATCTGTAGACATCATAAAGCTACTGAAGGTTACAGGTGTTTTTTTTAAGGGTTCATTTATGTAAGAGAGGGAAAATGGTCATGTGAAAGTAAGCATTCAGAGGCAATACTAGGAAGGATGGGGAAATATGGTGGGGAATTCTGTCCCATCCCCCCAATGTAGAAGCTTCTCAGTTGCACTGAGAACGGGAAATCATTCCAATGTGGAGGCAACCAGATTCATGGAACCATAATGACTGAAGGGAACCTCCACATTCAGAGGCAGCCAACCACCAAATACAGGTGGCTAGGAGGCAACAGGCCTCTATGCCCTGTTAGTTGTCCCTGCAGCACATCTAGTTTAGGATTCTGGACTACTGGTCTCATCTATCAAGGCATCTCTTAAGTTCACTCTCATAGTGTCGCATGCTTTGTGTAAAATGAAATATTATTTTTCTCGATCACATGGGAGGTTTAGGGAGCTCCAAATTGCAGCCTGCACCCCTAAAGAAACTGGCTAGGCAGTAATCTCTTCTCTCTGTCTCATGCTTTAGTTAGGCTTTGTTCTGAGTCAACATGCTTAGGCTAACAAATTCATGTGAATTGCTATTTTCAAAGAGCCCAGCAAAGAAAAACACACCAGTTTTTATTCAATAAATGCTTTTAAAATTTTGAATCATACATCCTCAGCATAGAAAACAATGCATCCACACATTGTCTATTGCACTGTAACAGTAATTTGCAGCTGGATTTTCCTGTACACGTGGACAAGGAATTCACCAGTGATTGCTATGGCATGGTACTTCCCAACCTTTATATGGTAGCCCTCTTTAAAAAAAACAAAAAACCTGCAAAGGCTTGAGACCCACTTTCACAGGCTTTGTGACCCACTTTTAGGTCAAGACCCACTGGCTGGGAAATGCTAGGGTTAAAGAGGTCAGTGCTCTTTAGCTTGGAGAAATGATGATTGAGGGGTGACATGATAGAGGTTTACAAAATTATGTATGGGATAAAGAAGGAAAAGAAAGAAGTACTTTTATACCTTTCTCACTCCTGGGCACTCAATGAAATTAATGAGCAGTAAGGTAGGAGCTGCGGTGGCTCAAGTGGTTAAGATGCTGAACTGCAGGCTGTGGAAGGTCAGTAGTTCAGCAGTTCGGGACCCGGGTGCCGCATGATGGAGTGAGCTCCCATCTCTAGTTCCAGCTCCTGCCAACCTAGCAGTTCGAAAGCAAGAAATTGCAAGTAGATAAACAGGTACCACTTTGGTGGGAAGGTAACAGCGTTCCGTGCGCCTTGGTGTTTAGTCATGCCGGCCACATGACCACGGAAACGTCTTCGGACAGCGCTGGCTCTTCGGCTTTGAAACGGAGATGAGCACTGCAACCCTAGAGTTGGACTCGACTGGCTTTCGAGCAAGGGAACCTTTACCTTTTACCTTTAAGGTAGAACAGATAAAAGGAAGTACTTCTTCACCCAAAGAGTAATTAACATGTGGAATTCACTGCCACAAAAAGTAGTGGCGGCTAAAGGCACAGACAGCTTCAAGAGGGGACTGGATAAATATATGGAGCAGAGGTCCATCAGTTGCTATTAGCCGCAAGGTATAGAGGGAACACTCTGTCTGGGGCAGTGATGCTCTGTATTCTTGGTGCTTGGGGGGGGGGCACAGTGGAAGGGGTTCCGAACTTCTGACCCCACTGATGGCACCCTGGTTTTGGCCACGTGTGACACAAGAGGGTTGGACTGGATGGGCCACTGGCCTGATCTTATGTACTTAGTGCAAAGACAGTACAGTATCCAACAATTTGCAGAGGCAAATTCACTGTCAAAATTCAGGGGAGGAATCCATCCAGAGATGGTTGGTTATATTGTGCTACAATCTGCCTTGACCACACAGGAAAATCCAGCAAGATACAGGGCTGAAAAAGACAAAAAGTGGAAAATAAAACGAAGAAGGGTGGGATAGTGGAGACAGTCGCAGAGGGCTGGCTTGCCTTCGGAAGCCTAGGCCCGGCCGGTTGCTAAGGACCCGGTTACCAAGCAAAGGCCTGGCGCACCCTCGATAATGGTCCGTGTATTCCCCTTTGCCCGCCACGGCGCTGTACAGACGCGCCTCCTCGCCGCGGACGGGGTTTTCCTGTTCCCAGCTCGGAAGAGAGCGGCGGAGTCACATTGAAGAGGAGCCGCGGGGGATTGTGGGAGAAGGGGGTTGGCTCCAGCTTCGCCTCGCCTTCCCTTCCTCCGCCCTCCCCCCCCCTCAGCTTCCCCTCTCCCCTCCCCCCCTCCGCGCGTCCTCCGGCCAAGATGTCTGACATGGAGGATGATTTCATGTGCGATGATGAGGAGGACTACGACCTGGTAAGAAGCAGGGGAGGGGGGAGGAAGGCCGTGCCCCCCAGGAAGAGGCAGAGCTCGTGGGAGGGAGGGAGGGAGGTCGCACCTCTCGTCCTCCTTGGCGCCCCATACCC